AGCAAGCAGCGCCTAGACCACTTAAGAACTTCTCGCAGTTCTTTGTACGGGTAATTATAGGCAAGCGTCGATCAGTAACGTAGTTGAGGGTCTTCTTCAATCACGTTGCGGCAAACACAAAGGGAGCCGATCCTTCTACCTCTTCCACGTCAGCCTGCGTCACAAGCGCTATTTTGCTTCATTCCTCGGCTCAGAAAATCTGGCAAATTTGTAAAGTATTATAGATTCGAGGTCAGTGTACAAAAACAATTCCAACAATGTACATAGGGCTTTTATTACGTATGGCCCATTAGACCGACCCATCATCCCTTCGGGGTTAGTGATATGGCAATGAAGCAACAAGAAGAAGGTATCATAGCCCAAAAAGTGGGAACCTTACTCTGAGGGTTGCTTCGGAGTGTTTAGAAGCACCACTTACTTCCTGAACCTTCTACACGTGCATATGTGTATGGTCCACGGATCAAATCTTGGTTGGTAAATGATCAACAAAGCCTCTATCTCTCTCCGCCTGGTGAATTAGTTCTAGAACTGTGTGTAAGTACGAAAACACTGACTCACACAATCGACCAGATCTACGACTGACCCCGAATTCTTGGTACCGACCAAGTGCACGAATGACTCTACGTTCCTGGAACGATGCGTAGCCCATCCCAATTGTTCGGCTTCGAGGACATTCTTCACCTTTGGGCGTGGTGTTGTAGAATCATAGACGACAAGGCGCACTTCAGATCAAGCCTGTCATGAATTTTTTTTCATAATTTTGAACTACAATTGTTCTGGGCAACATTCTCGCCATGTTCTTGTATGAGTGATTAACAATTTCTGTGACTGATGTGGTTACCATTGGTGAGCAATTTCAAATAAAACCGATTGAATTTCACGACATATTGGACAGGTGTCGACGTCATGACAACTCAGCTCCTCGTTCTCGTCCTGACAGTATGCTTGGGCATCAGTGCCTACCTGGAGTAGGTAAACTTTGCACAACGCTTCAGTGCTTGCTTTTTGGACTGCCAATTCAGGGTGCCCTTGGTTCGCAAGCCCAAATGGAGGCACAGAGACGGCCGACAACATTAAACGCTGTCCTGGAACAATTGACGAAGCAGTACGAACTACTGAATCCACAAAGCCCGCAGCATACCCAGGAAAGCTTCACCACCATCAAGAAGTGAAGACTATGCGATCATTAGGTCTGTTCCAGAAAGTAATCCGCGGCAACATGATCACTACTTCTCTCCGATATTGTGGAGAATTCATTCTGATGCTTTTAATATAATTGGCGTGCCTATTTGAATTCTTTTATGTCCTAAAATAGGTTGGAAGAGTAGCGGGCAAACACATGCGGTTTTGATTTTCAGCTCCGACTTCCAGTCACCACAGGAAATTCGCTGAGTGCACCTGTGGGAGACGCAACAGTTCGTAAGAAAATGACATTCGAACGTTGAATAAGGCAACAGTGGAAACAGAAATCGTTTTGCTGAAATTTTCTAAGAGGACACAATTCCACGCAATCTTATTTGTGGTAAAAAGCTTCAAATCAAAGCCACGGGTCGAGATCGGATACGTCGATTTTTGTACACGTTTTTCCTCTCCTCGCAGCCCTGTGTCTCTCCGCCTTTCCACTGCTTCACGAGGTAAATTTCAATAATTTCTATGGCGCTCCCTGCTTTTCCTTCCCACTGAAGTTCCTCGGCGCTTTTCTTGCCGAACACTATTTTTCCTCTTCTTCCCCCTATCGCTAGTCCCGCGCAGTCGCAGGATCCGCTTTTCCTCTCAAGTATGAAAGCGAAAATGGTGCCTAATCAGGCATCTCTTTCCATCAACTTGAACCTGGACAAGTTTAGGTGTCAGATATCTTAGTGTCGTTTTTTCACCATGAGTTTCGAACCACCAATATTTTTTAATTCAGAATCGGGAAGTGAAACAGCATATTTATCGAATGACTCATTAGCACTTTCCATTGAACCATTCGCGACCGCGCGGGATTGCGCATGCAGTACAGTCAGGAAGTTTTTGTTCAATAAAATTTGAATGGACGGAGATTTCCTCTACCCAGGGCTGACAAAGATGAATGAGGGTATGAGGATTATTTTCATGGAAGGAAATGTTTCAAATCCCACTTGAAACGCGGTAGCCAACGGTGGATGCCATCGCTCGAGTGAGACATTTGTCAGCCACCGGTGGCTGACATTGTCACGAATGGGTTAACCAGTATGAGTGGAAACCTCGTGCGATTAAAGCTAGAGATTTTTTGAGTCGAAAAAAGAGGTTGGTCGGTTTTGACATCATCTGACAAATCATCCCTCTCCCTTGCTATAAAGTTGGGCCTGGACAAAAGAAGTATACAGTTAGTTAGAATAGGGTCTGCACTGTGTGGTTCAAAAGAAAGTTATAGCTTACCGGCTAAACTGGACAATTTTTCCCGAGTCTTTTTCGCGACAAAAGTTATAGCTTACCGGCTAAACTCGACAATTCCCGCAGTCTTTTTTGCCACATAGGGTCAAAAACACATCCGCACCCTTTTAAGCACACGTGAGTAGCAGATGAGCACATTTATAGAATTCCTTGTGCAATTACCTCCGTTAAAGCGTTTGTACGCATATCGATCAGTCACTGCTAAGGTGTGCTACCATTTCAGCCCACGGCTGGTGCAGCCCCGTCTCGACTGATTTAACTAGGTCCACGTTTTTGACGACGATTGTGGAAGACTTCATTATCTTTTGAAAAAAAAGTGTGGAAAACCGATGAACATTTTCAATGGAAGTATTTCCTCCATTAAATGTAATGTTGGCTTGGTGAGCGGGAGTTGCAGCTCCCAGCAAGAATTTTGAAGCATTAGGCACACACGTGCGAATTTGCACACTGGACCCAGAGATTTTCAAAAAAAAAGTATAAAAATGGGGAATAGTTAGATTGTGTACCAACAGTAGAAAACAATAACAACATATTTTGCAGTATTAACGAGCATAAGAACTTTCTGAGATATTGACTTTCCATGGTAATCGGCCCCAAAACTTCCTGAACTCAGAAAAGCGACAATAAGATATCCTGCACCTAATAATTTGCAATAACTTTTGACCTCACTAATTTGCGTTTACTCGTTATTGTCATTGATCTGCTGAAAACATCTTCTTAAAAACTGAGTCAAAACGCGCATTACCTTATGGGCAATAAATGTTAATAGCTCTGCACTTTTAAGAGTTCTCATTGTTCAGATTGTACTACGGCAACATCCAAGTTGGAACTCCTCCTCAGACATTCAGCGTTCTTTTCGACACTGGCTCATCAAATTTGTGGGTACCGTGCTCGAACCGAACATGTGATCTTCAAACAAGCCGCTTGCTCATAAGTCGCATTTCGAGTGATAAATAAAATATTAAACAATACAAGTACACAATTCCAATTACAGTTTCAGCTGCGCACGCAAAAGAGAACATGTCACCAACATAACACTTTCTTATTCATTTCCGGAAACAGGTCAATGAAAAAGACATCAACGCTCAGTATACAGAAAGCGCCTACAATGCGTAAGTTACGCAAATATGCAAGTAATGTTTTTTGTACTCATTTTCGCTATCCCTGTTCTCATTACAATTTGGAACAGATAGGAAGTATCGTTAACAACTGCTTATGCAAGGACTGGCTACCAAATAACTGCAAAATATATAAAAAATAAAAAGAGAGAAAATATTTGTAGTACGTTGATACAGGCCCTAGATTCAGACAGGCTAGAAGGTGAAAAAAAAAAATGTCATTGCAGGCTATTCTAAAAAACGGACGGACTCAGTTGGCATCCGGACTGCCCCATGTTCTTGGACAACATTCCTCACCTCTGGACTAGATCTGTCGCCTCAATAAATGTCAGATCAGAATTTTTATTCAATTTCAGTTTTACTGTATCAGAATAATGGGCAACGGCACTGTGGTATGTTCCGCGTCAAGGTAGGCTCGCGGGAACTCATACTGAGGCGATGCGCTGAAGGAATCGTGTTAAAAGGTTCGGTTTTGGAGAACTGAGACAAAGCGATCGATAGAATAGGATGCAGTAGAACGGTGAGATATTAGTGCAATAAGTCACAAGGACAAAATGAATTCCTAGTGAGGCCACTCCGATACCCAAGTGGAAGTGTTCCCGCCGCCAGCTTTAGTGACAGATGAATTCGGACGCGCAACAGTCTTTTCGCTTTTTCCAATTTTTTTCCGCGACCAACGCAATTTTTTGTTCTTTCCATTCTTCTCGTGAACAATAGGTTTCAAATCAGTGATTAAAGGGTGAGATAGGGTCATGATTTCAGCATGATTCCTTCAAACCCACCTTCCCCTCGTTCCTCCCGCTGCCATTCGAAGGTATTGATAATGATGATAACATTGGCACGAACTTTTCGGAGCTCTCTGCTCTGTCCTCATTTACTATAGGGGAAATATCCGCGACACAGTGAGAACGGATCGCGACATATGCTGCACCCCGGTTGTGAAAAGAATGTAAAGAAATGAAAACAATACATGTTATAATAATGAAAGTATATACTATATGGTAATGAAAAACAGCGACGGGTTGAAGATATAACCTCCTCTTCGAATAGCGAGAAAGTATTGGGTGCAGACTAAACACCACAACTGACGACGACCTCCAAGTAATTCTGGTTAGAAGTGGTTCATAGAGATAGCTGAATTCTGGTAAATGATAGTTGTAAATAGGTAAAATCGATAGGATACAACTGCAACAGGCTAATCATTTCGTTGGCAGAAAACATTTACATTCTATGAAGGCCGTCGTCTTTTTTAGTGCATGGTCTGCACCCGACGATTTCTCGCTTTTTGAAGGGTAGGGTACAGGGAAGCATAAATTTGAAAGCCTCTCACTTCTGAACTCGCCTTCCCTACCTCAAGAATTCCACACGTGGCGCTTTGCATGGGTGGGTTGAGCCAGAAGAGAGTGACAATTTTCAACTAAATACGTGTTCCACACACTATGCCCAGAAGCACTTTTTGCTTTCTACATGACGAATAATCCTGATTATGAGTTCGAAAGCAACAACGGCGCAGTTTTGACACTTTGTGGAACAAACCCTGCTTATTATAAGGTAACGCTCGAGAAGGCTCTAAGAAATTGATCACAATGATAGAAAATTTTGAAGGGACAAATAGCTTGGGTGCCTCTGGCTGAAGAAGGAGTGTGGCAAATCACTTTGGATGCTGTCGCCATCCAGGGCTCGCCAATTACCTATGGACCAGCTAACGCTGCCGTTGATACCGGTGCTTCGCTGATTTCCGGGCCGAGTGATGTTATCGAAATGGTTCTTGTTCCAAAATGTGGAAATATAGACTCTGCTTACATTATTTATTCATTTCAGGCCTTCCTGTCCTTCACGCTTACATTTACTTCTTCTTGCATTTCAAGATCAATCAAGCAATCGAAGCTCAGCTGTACGACTGCACAAGTTTTTCTCAACTTCCACAGATCATATTCAGTATTGGTAACTACTACTTCGTCCTAAGCGGTTCTGACTACATGAATCAGGTAGTCAAATCAAGTATGAAAAGCTACTAAAAGTGTGACTTGCAATTCCACAAATTGAACAAGGGCGTGACATTTATTTCAGGACGGATATTCCTGCTCACCCGGTTTCGGAGTAGTACCTTCTGGCGGTAAATCAACCTCTTTCTTATCTCTATTAAGTATCGAAGTATGCTTGCCTGCATTCAAAATTTCAGCTCCTACTCAATGGATTCTTGGAGACGTTTTCATACGCACATTCTACACGATCTTCGACCGTGGAAACGCCCGTGTTGGATTTGCTGAGGCAGCCTGATGCACCTACACTTATGCGACTTTTTTCATATAACCTTTGCTTCATGACGTCATCCTGAAGCGAATAAATATGTTTGTCGCGCTACCATCTCTCATTCTATGATCCGAGCATTTCTAGAAAAACGTTTAGCACTAGAACCATGAAGCAGGGTAAATATCAATCGAGGAAACCGTCGACGGGGGAAGTCTTACTTGTCACGGCAGGTAGTAGGGGGTCCTAATCGTGGGCCGTAACGGGCTTATCAGTGGCATCATGGTGCATATGGGGGGGAGGGTGGGAGGATGTACTGCAGCAGAAAACGAGGATATGAGAGAAAACATGACAAAGTATATTATTCGCATGCTCAGTTGTGGGGCCGCGTGCTCCTCTCCTCTATCTACCGCCCGCTCGCTCGCCCTCGATTCTTCGCTGAGAATGGACTGTTAATAGGGACGCTGTCGCAAGAAACAACAGAAGTGAAGGAAATGCTCCCTGCAGATGAAGGCGCTCCTTAGGTTGTAGGAGTGACGAAATGTCTTCACTATTTACAGTTCCTCTACAGGTCATCATCCCACCGCACCTTACAATTGATCGCAATTATGAGTGGAGGTCGGATGCATGTCCTATGTTGGGATGAAATCAAACGATGATTGTCCATTCTCTTACTGCTCACGTTAGTAAAATGGATTCAAGAAGCATTTCGAGGGTTTCCAACGGATCAGCTTGCAATGGTGAAGAAAAAAGCGACCAGAAAGGTAAACAGACTGTCTGTAAGCGCGAATCCTCAGAATTTCAAAACTGTCTTCCTTTTTCCTATTAGGCGCTTCAGAAAGTTCTGTCGTTTTTCAAGCCAGAACTTCAAATGCATGTATCTCGGCTAGAGCAAAGCTTTAATGTTTAAATAAAAACCATTCGAATGCGCCAAACATTCGCTATGAGAAGCCGTTTCAGTAGGGTTTTTTTGTTCAGAATGTTGGAACTCTGGAAGCAGTAAACTGAGGACAGGCTGTTTTAGCATCGGAATATATTTTGAACCCTTTCTCTTAAGGGACCATCGGAGCCCCCGAAAAAGTGTGAGCTGATGGCCAGAGGTACCGAGAAGGATATCTGCACTACCTCTCTTAGCTAGTCCAACTTGTGCAGGGTTGAATGTACGACATGCGTGTAAGACCACTGTCAGAGATGTGTCCGTCCTTTTACAATGAGAAATGCTGAACCAGCAATTTGAAACTCCTGGTGATTTTGACGTAATGTTCACCTCCACTGTAACGGTTCCACCTGATACAGGGGAGCTTGGCCAGCCGCTGGCCTGATGAAAGTTGCCATAACCCTCTTCAGCACAGCTAAGGTTTTGCAATGTTTGTAGAGCTTGGTCACCGTCGAGCTATTCGGCAAAACTTCGTGGGTTGCGGAAAACAGTCCCCTCTTCATTGGTCGCCGCAAATCAGTAGAAAAGCGGGTCGCTTTTTTCACAAAAAACAAGCTAGAAATTGATGGACCTCCCTTCAAATTAGAGGTTTGTCGCGGCACGCCCCATCAAATTTTTTGGACTTTCCAGCTACTTCGGTATGGCTTGGCTCCCCAAACCATATACGTTTAGGTTGGGTAGTGCCTCCTCAATGGTCCTTTACACGAGTGTCTCAATCAGAAGTTTTGGCTAGTCCGTGGGTAACGTCCGATATTCGACACCACCCTCATCATACCCAAGGCTCTCCTTTTCGTGAAAATAACTTTTTGAACTACTGCTTCTGAGCATATTTATTGCGAATCTAATACGAGTGCTTCATTAGTATCTCAAGGGTTTGCGGACTACTTGATTTTCTTCAATGGTCCTGCCGCGATGTCTAGAACACAGACGATCAGAGAATGCCCTAGGACTAAGCCTTGGAGAGGGACCCGCTAGAGAGCGCAGACGCGGTAAAGGGCTGAGTTCAAGTAGTCCGTCAACCTATCTCAAGCTGCTCCCACTACATTCAAGTCTATCTAACGCTGGAAAAACAAGGTCATGCCAACCAGAGTATACCGCATTCAAAGCTCTGGAAAGGTTGTAAGAAAATTTTTAAAACAAAGCTGAAGTAAACGATGGATAGGACTGAGAAAGCTCTTCAAGGTGGTATTCATACCAATGGCAGTTTCTCGTGATTTCATGTAAAATGAAGCATCCAAACGTCTCAGAAACTATCTGAAACACCTGATAGTACAAACAAAATTACAGAGATGTTGCCTTTCAAATAGTAGGGATTCGCACACAGATTCCAGCGTTCTCGACGCACGCTCGACGCAGTTCGAGCAACACTACCTCTCTGAATGGAGGGTTTTTAAGCAATTTCAATACTGCTTTATAACAAGAGACCTAGCTTCGGCCGATGTCAGGCTTTGCGAATCGCGCGATTGGCTAGCGTCTGAGGTCGCGTCGCGGCCAGTGAATCACTCTATTGGCCGGTACCGCAACGCAACCGCGGACACTAGTGAATCGCTAGTAGCGAATCGCGCGATTCGCAAAGTCTGACATCGGCCTTCATTTGAGCCTACTACATCTGCTCAAAAGGCTATGAAATGAAGGAATGGTAGCGTTCGAAAGGGGTGTAAATTCTGTGGTTTTCAGGGCTCCCCAGCAAATCAGACCTAGTGATACACCGCGCGCAACTGCTGGTGATTGCATAATGAAAATAGTTGTGGTGCAAATCAATGCTAGGGGGTCGTATAAAGATCCCGATTCTGGGGAGATGGTCGTACTGGCGAGACGATGCCCTCGACACGACACTCACCCTGCCATGAAGAGAGATTCATGGTGATTGATGAACATGTCGAAAGGGAAGGGTCCACACTTATAACACCAGTTCAATATGGGGATTTGAGCCAGCCGAGAAATGACCAATAAAACTGACTAGCGCAATTACCTCATTGGAACTATTGCATGTTGGTTCGTGGACTTCATGACAACCCCTGGACCTCATCACAGTCCTCCCTACCGTACGACGAGTTAACATCATCTGAAAGTAGGTGACAATTTGTTTGATGACCAGTGAGCTGGCTTACAAAAAATAGTATGCTCACAATATGTACAATTCGCCTCGAGTCCCATCCTCAGAGCAAGACAACGCGCGACTTCTTACTACCCACCACACCTTCCCATGTTGATAACGGCCCATACATCGATTTTTGACATAAAAATATGTAGAAAGAAAGAATCAGCTATTCAGGGGGTCATGCTGATAATCTCTGAAAGGGTGGGAGGTCGTGAAAATATTGGAATTAGCGCAACGCATGGTTGGCCCTGTTTGGGACTCGCTCGTCGGAGACTGCACGATATGCGGCTCCTTCACGTGCTCTTTACTTCACCACTGTGCTTTTAGAAGTCGCTACAATGTACTGTCCAAGACATCTTCGAACGTGACCTCGACTTTATTGAGAATTTCCTTATGATGTCCTCCAGGATCTCATGTAATATCATCTTCTACGGTAAGTAGTTGCTTTAGGTACTATGTACTCACATACCAGAAGAGAAGACGATCGGATACCGGAGAGGCAATGTCTTAAATTTGGTCCTAACTCGGGTTATCCCAGTCGTATAAGTCCACTTGCAATACTCCATTGCTTCCTTTCTTGGGGTCTATTCCGGTAAGAGGGGCATCATAGTCTGCTCTGATGCCAGTTTGGCAATTTTTATTTCCTCCATTTTAAGGCTTAGTCTTAACCTTTACACTGGGTGAATATGGTATCCGTGGTTTAAAACACGTAACCTGCCCCCCCCCTCCGTACTGGAATAGACCCCTTCTCTGTTCTCACTTTGCGTTTCCGGCCAATTTCAGCGGAGCATGTCCGCTATTGTCGGGACCGTTCACAGCCGGCGGCCCTCATCAAAGGGCGCAGCGGGCGCGTGACGTCGCCAATCTCTGAATCATCGGTGACTCCTGAGGCGAATTTCGCGCATCATTAAGCTCGGATCACTTGCGGAGGAGCGCCCATTTGTGGGGCAACACAAAGCGAACAATTATTGTTGTTCGGCCACAGTGATAGTTAAAATGACCGCAGTTAGGGTTTGTCCGTCAATCCATCAGCGCGTGTCTTATCACAGAGAGGCGTGGCCTTTTTTCGATGACGCCGAGTCCCTATTGCTACTTATCGAGTCGTAGCATATCTAATTTAATCCCAATCCTTAAATCCTCCAATGTTCCGGGCAACAAGTCCTGCTCACTCTCATTAGACGCATTTGTTGATGCTCTGCAGAACAGGC